ATAAAACCACAACATCCACATCTAATCCAGACAAACGGCTCATATTCAATAATACGCTGGTGGTCTGCAGTGCTGGTGGTACAGTGAGTTCTTCAGGCACATAACTCGAGAGCACCTCATAAATCACACACAACCTCCACACATACCTTCATTCCTGCTTTGATCAAGTGCAAGTGCTCATAGCTCTTTATGTGTGGATTCGAATAAAACACACACCTCCCGATACCCTCATGCCATGTCCGAAGGTTTCCGCTCTCCGCTGGCAACTGCTCCAGAGTGTTAGTTAAAGATTTTACAACATAAACAAAGCCTTGGCCCAGAAATCCAGAACTCTCGCTCTGCAAAGCAAAGTTCACCCATGCTGAAGCATCTGTTGCCACTCACCAAATATAATCAAGCCTATAAATAGAGCCACTGTTTTTCAGACCCCCGAAGAAATGATCAGCCCTGCAGAAAACAGACACAGAGCGAGAGCAACAGGCAAAAGGAGGACCAGGATACTGTGCAGGGCGATAGGAACCCAAGCATTGCTCATGTCCTGCAGAAGGAGACGAAGAAGACTTTTATTACTCTTCCAGCTTCTGTAGACGTCTGAATAATGTGTCTCCCTTGCAAGGTGCGTGATAGCTGGGGATCTGGGGGAGGCAATAAGACACCTGCTGGATTCAGTAATGTTATATTCAATCAGATGATCAGTGAACAAGATGGATAAGTACATTTTCTCTCATGTATTTTGAATGGTTTTTAAAGAAATTGAGTATATTTCTGGTTTATTTAACTACAGTTTAGTGTGCAATAGTCTTAGGCCGCCAGGTACATTTGTTGTTTTAGTGGGGCTATAATGACAACCCATTATATATTAATTCTTATTTTCTTTATTAAAATAAAACCAGAAAATACAGGTTCTAGTTTTTATTCCTGGGTATAATTGTTTGACATATGAAAAAAAGAGTTAGAGAAAGATGGAAGAATGAATGAACTATACTGGGGTTTCTGTCTTGGTTTGATCTGCATTTCTGCAGTTCTGTTGTCAGTATCGCCTGAATTGATGGGGTTGTGAATGCTGAGAGGTACAGACAGGTTTTAATTCGTTATGCAATTCCTACTAGAAGGCATCTAATGTGTAATAGTTTTATATTTCGGCATGATAATGATCCCAAACACACTGCCAAAGTAATGACTTTATATTTGAAGAGATAAACAGCTAAAGAAACAAAGACAGTCACGAAATGGCCCCGACAGTGTCCAGACCTGAATATTATATAGGCAGTGTGAGATTCATCTGGAGAGAAAAGAAAGATAAAACAGGCTAAATCTAAGATGAAGAGTTAGGAATGCTGAAAAATGCTTGATATTAAGCAGAACATAACTTCAGAAAAGGCTCAACAAAAAAGTTCTCAAGAGGTCACGTTAAACAGTCTTTCGATGCGAGTCTTTGGATTTTTATTATCGAGTTCAACGGCAAATACATATAAGTGCCATGATTCAATCATTTTCTTTTCGGCTTAGTCCCTTTATTAATCAGGGGTCACCTCAGCGGAATGAACCGTCAACTTATCCAGCATATGTTTTATGCAGCGGAACCCCTTCCTGTTGCAACACATCACTGGGAAACACCCATACACCCTCAATCACACACATACACTACGGACAATTTAGCTTATCCAACTCACCTATAGTGCATATCTTTGGATTTGTGGGTCTGGAGGAAACCCACGCAAACATGCTGTGAGGTGACAGCGCTACCCCATCGCCAAGTGCCTTGATATTTTATGTAATCTATAAAATATTTCCTTGTTTTTTTTATTTTTATTTTTTTACATTTATTCATGATATTTATTTGTGGTGGTATCAAACTTACTCAGGTAGCAAAAAATTCCGGCATAGATTTGTCATAAAACATAGATTTGTCATAATGGCTCTGGGATACAGTGGCCCGGGTTTCACAGAGGTAACACCGTTTAAGGCAGCACACAAGACTTGGGCAAGATATCAAATGTAGTATTTGGCCCAGATGTCACAAATTAATATGTGGGCCACGTAAGTTTGTCCTACCTTGAAAAAATACATTTAATATATTTTTGAGTAAAGAAAAACTAGAAGTATTAGAAGACTGCATGAGTAGATTTTCAAGTTTAAATCAATTTCATTGCAGTCGTGACACACCAACATCAGTTATGGCAGATAACTCTGATCTCACAAGGAAACGTAAGTATTTTTGTGTTTTTTCAGTTTAGTGGCTATTTCGTACGAGTTCAGTCGTACGAAAATGTACGATTTTAAAAAGGAGGCATGGCATCCAACCCCACCCCTAACCCCAACTGTCATTGGGTGATGAGAAAATCGTACTAAATTGTACGAATTAGATTGTACGAATTCATACGAATTAGTCACTAAATCAAAAAGTTGCAAATTGCCGTGAGATTGTGTTGGTTATGGATAGGGCCAGACGGAATCTGCGGACATTTTTTGCTATTTGTGTGGAGAATTTTGTAAAAAAAAAATCTGCAGATTTATGCGGAATTATTTTGGGAGTATTGTAACTAAAACCTAATATATGAAAGAAAAATAAAACCTTTTAACTTTTATTTAATGTTTAGAATGCAGATCTAATTCGATCCAATTAATTGTTAAACAAAGCAAGTCTCATATAAATTATCTACTAAAAGACAGAAAGTATTACAAACTGTATTGCAAATAAATCATATGAACATTTTAATATTACTATTATTATATTACAATAATATTAGTGAAATTAATTTTAAAAACTAAATAAATATAAATTTGCACACATTTACACAAGTAAATACGTGGACTCAATGATGGGCTAAAATTCTTTGTAAATCTGTGGATTTTTGCCCTCGCAGATTCCGTATGTGCCTAGTTATGTGTTATTACCTTGACTGAGACTTGGCCCAGATATGGTCCATGTTTGGCCTTTGTATAGAAGCCAGACCTGGTCTAATCATTTACCGTAACTTACTGTGGCATGTGGGCCAAGCAAAAGCTGATTGTGTGGGCCAGATCTGGACTACAGAAATTTTGCTTTGTGGGAAGCTTTTCAATAATTTATTACAACAGCAATGAAAATACAATAATGTGTAATATTTTTACACATTACAATGTAATGCCCTGTGCTAGTATATTGCATAATAAAATGGAACGGAACATAAAAAAAACTCATCAAGTCTACTTACAATTAATAAAACCCATAAGAACTCATAAGAATGTTTTTTTTTTTTATCTTTTTAAGAGTCTGCATAATGTGAAAAATGTTGTAAAAAGGTGAAGAGCTCTGTTTTTTTATATATACAATTGAAATCAAAATTATTAGCTCCCCTTTAGATTGTTTTTTATTTTTTAAATATTTCCCAAATGATGATTAACAGGGCAAGGAAATTTTCACAGTATGTCTGATAATATTTTTTCTTCTGGAGAAAGTTTTTAAATTATTTTAAATTTTTTTAAAAATCATTTTAAGGTCAAGATTATTAGCCTCTTTAAGCTAGATTTTTTTTGATAGTCTACAAAACAAACCATCATTATATAATAACTTACCTAATTACCATAACCTGCCTAATTAACCTAGTTAAGCCTTTAAATGTCACTTTGAGCTGTATAGAAGTGTCTTGAAAAACATCTAGTCAAATATTTTTTACTGTCATCATGGCAAAGATAAAATAAATCAGTTATTAGAAATGAGTTTTTAAAACTATTATGTTTAGAAATGTGTTGAAAAAATCTCTTCATTAAACAGAAATTGGGGAAAAAATAAACATAATTTATTTTTTTTAACCTTTATTATATAAGACAGTAGAGATGAGACAGTAATCCATGGAGAGCAGAGAGACTCATAAAGTCAAGCAATCAAATCAAAGAAGTCAATATATAACATTTGTAACCACAATTATGTCAAATGTTATCTTTGCGTTATTAAAATTCAGCGTTAGTAAATTCAGCTAGAACACTATTCCACACGTCTCTTTATTTATTTTATAATTATTTTTACTGGTTTTTATTATTTGGAAAGGACAGTAGAGGTTGCAGACAGGAAAGTATCAGGAGAAGAGAGAAGGGAAGGGTCGGCAAAGGACCTCGAGTTGGGAATCGAATTCAGGTCAACGTGAGTACCATAAGGCTAAATGTTAGCACACTAAACCACTAGGCTATTGGCGCAGACTCTTTTTTTCTTTAATACATGTTTTGATTATTATTTTTTAAATAATGCATTAAACAACACATACATGACAACATGGTAAACAAAATAATGCCAGGGTGATAAAAGGTAAATAATAATAACAGCGCAAAAAATAAATAAAACAAACACAAAAAACAAGAGTACAAATAATTAAACAAAATTGCTACAATTACAAACAAGCAGGAACTTTACATTAATCAAAGATTTTAAAAATAAAACTAGAGCACACATAGACCGTTTTAATGGCCTTTCTATTAGCTCTATGCTTAATAGTGCAAAAGTAATTATAAAACAAAGTAGCACAGGGCTTTTTTGTTGGAAAATTTACACTTATAAATATGAAACTTATTCAACTAAATAAATAGATTAATAACAAAAACTTCGTTATTCAAGGTATCATAATTAAAATATCCAAAAATTACGTTTTCAAAATGTAAATTACAATTAAACAGTACCTTTTTTTTTAAAATAAAGACAGAATCATCATACCAAAGCTTTTTAACATAACCATAGTGCCAAAAGATGTGGTGTACAGTTTCCAAATGCAAAGAACAAAAAGAGCAATTTATATCAATATCCTTTTTAAATTTACTGAGGAAATGTTTAACCGGATAATTCCACACGTCTCTCCTATCCTTTTCTGATGATTGACCACGGAATCAGCACAAATACAGTGGCGCTCGTTCTGATTGGTCGTACTTGTTACTTTAATCAACGACTGCGTCGATTTTCTAGCAGTTGATTGGACAATAGAACAGAGTTCTGCCTGACATTCTTTTCCTCTCCAGACCCCGGAAATACCCTTTTATGGATGGAATGTGAGACTTTTACGCACCTACTATCAACTTCCGGTTGGGTGTGAGCGTTTTCTTGTTTCAGAAATATCTATTTTTATTGCCCGTAGGGCTTGGATTTTTGTTTACAACTTTTTCCTGTGTGTTTGCGTATTTTCCGTACAACTAGGTAAATATCGGGGGAGCTCTTTGTCTGCTTTTAATGGCTGGATTTGAGCCGCTATACGATGCCAAAGTGGCAAAACTAATAGTAAGATTGTCTGTGAAGTATGTGGGTCTTTTTAAAATGTAACTTTTATTTGTAGAAAATGTCAAAGTCACTGAAGAAGATCGTGGAAGAGAGTCGCGACAAGAATCTCCCGGAGGTGGACATGTGTGACAGAGGAATATCAAACCTGCTGGATATTCCTGGACTCTGTGAGTGTTCAATCTGTTTAATCTGGATAGTTGACTACTGACAAGTCATTCAAGTTTAAAATGTTATTGTTGAAACGTGTATGGGTCATAAATTGGACTTGTTTACACTGTAAATAAGTGGTAGTCATACTATGTCGTGTCTTTTCCCCTGTTTATTTTGGTCAGTTTTTAAAAATACAAAATTGGCATGTTTACTATAAACGATGGTGTATATAGTACACAAAATGTATCAAAAGTACACACAGGAGAATGCAAAATACAAAAGATGACAATTTACTAAGATATGAAAACAATTAAATCCAGAGAATAAGACATTTAATTATGCATTTCAGTAAAAGAAGTTAAAAATTTCCTATTTACTTAAGATTAAATTGTCAAGATATTAAAACAAAGATTGTTTTTGTTGTTGGTGAGTTTGTATTGTATTAAAAGTACATACAGGAGAATATAAATGAAAAAAATTTGACAGTTTACTAAAATATGAAAGCGTAGAAGACAATTTAATCCAGAGAATTGGACAATTATTTACATATTTCAGTAAAAGTAGTTGCAAATTTTGTATTTTCTAAGGATTGAGATGTCAAGATGTTTAAACAGATTGTTTTGTTGTTGATTTATTTGTATTGTATGTAGTGCACAAAATGATTGAGGTAAAGTAGGTTTTATATTCACACGTTCAGACTTTCAAAAGAAAATGTATCAAAAGTACGCTCTGCAGAATAAAAATGAAAAACGTTGACAATTTTCTAAGAAATGGAAAAGTTGAAGAAAAATAGGTCTATAGAGTAGGATATTAAATTATGTATTTCAGTAAAAGTAGTTACAACTTTCTTATTTATTTAAAATTAGAATGTCAGGATATTTTACAATATTTAGACAAACATTGTTTTGTTGTTGGTTAAGTTACATTTGTGGAAATAAAATGTATCAAGAAGATAAATTAGATTCATAACAAAGGAAAACAATGTTGTGTATAGTTCACAAAATGTATCAAAAGTACAACACAGGAGAATACAAAATAAAAAAAAGTTGACAATTTACTAAGATATGAAAACGTTGAAAACAATTTAAACCAGAGAATAAGACGTTCAATTATGTATTTCAGTAAAAGTAGTTGCGCATTTCATATTTACAGAAGCTTGAGATGTTAAGATATTTAAACAGATTGTTTTGTTGTTAATTCATTTGTATTGTATGTAGTGCACAATATGATTGAGGTTAAGTAGGTTTTATATTCACACATTCAGACTTTCACCTTAATAATATAATTTCACAAAAATGTTCATTGTAAATTCTAAATAGTGAAATCGTATTAGCAGTCAATGAATATTAAAGTACAACATTGTTCACAGTCAAATAAATAGTGCTAATGTTTTTTTCAAGTGATATTTACATGTGATGTTCGACCAAACATTTAAAGTACCGTGGTAAACAATATAGGGAGCGTGTCAAAAGTTTTCACTTAATGAATCTGGAAATATAAAATCAACTTTACCCCAATCACAAAATGTATCAAAAGTACACACAGCAGAATACAAATGAATAAAAATTGACAATTTACTAAAAGAAAAAAGTTGAAGAAAATTAGATGCAAAGAATAAGACTTTAAATTATGTATTTTAGTAAAAGTAGTTGCACATTTCGTGTTTACCGAAGATGTCAAGATATTAAAACAAAGATTTTGTTGTTGGTGATGTTGTATTGTATATAGTACACAAGTACACTCAGCAGAATACAAATGGAAAAGGTTTGACATTTTTCTAAGATATGAAAAAGATGATTAAATGAATTCAGAGAGTAGGACATTAAGTGATGAGTTTCAGTAAAAGTAGTTGCAAATTTCTTTTTTTACTGAAGATTAAAATGTTAAGGTATTTTACATAAAAAAACATTGTTTTGTTGTTGGTGAATTTACTTTTGTTAAGAATAGAAATTAGATTTATAACAAAGGAAACGTTTTTGTAGAGTCACATGTATTTAAAAGTTGTGATCACAACTCAATGGTTATATCATCATTGATAAATGTGCCAATTCTTTGAAAACTTTCAGAATATTAAGATTCAGAATGAATAAGAGTTTTTTGTGTCAATTCAACAAAAACAATACATTTTGTATCACTTTTATATTTACTTATGAAATGTTTAACTAGGTAACATTTGTTTATTCGTTTGACTAATGATAGTTTTACTTTATTAGTGAGAAAATCTTTATCTTTAAATAAATTAACTTTGTAAATTAAACTTGATACAGACACCAAAATAGTATGTGCATTTCCAAAAGCATTATAAAAATTCATAGTTTTTATTTTATTTTATACTTTGAAGTAATGATCTAGACTGTAGATGGTTTAAATGAGGGAGAAAATAAAATAAATGTTTGTGCATTTTGTATCAGTCATACATTTCATTATGAATTGTTTAGCTGCTGTATGTACAAATTTTTAATTAATTTAACAGATAATACTTTTACTTTATTAGTGAGAAATAATTGCTACAAGATCAAAATCTTTCTGATTTAGACTTTAAAGTGTGTATCCACCCTAAGAGTTTTCTGAAATGACAAAGCAAGCATGTATTGTTTTTTTTCTTTTGCAGTCTCTTTGTCCAGTATTACTCAACTGGTCCTGAGCCACAACAAGCTAAGTGGTAAGTCCTTCTTTTATATTACTCTTTATAACAAATATATTTACTAACAATTTACCTGACCTACAATATATGATGCTTCTTTGAGAAAAAAAAACAGAAAACACATTAGGCTGTACCATCATTAAAATTGATGATAGTTACTTATCAGAAAAAATCCTAAAGTTCAATTGCAATAACAATTAATATGAATCTTAATGTAGATATGATATTTAATTTTAGGGATGCAATGATATGGATTTTTTTGTGACGATATCAATAACTGATAACTCTTTAGGTTTGCAAGCTGATACCCTATATATTAGCCAATAAATATAATTTTTTTTATATATTTTTATACAGTGAACAACGGGTTTTATTTTAAAAACTTCATGAAAGTTTTTAACAGATCTTGGAATAGCATACTCAAAGCAAAAAGAGTAATCATTTCAAAATTTTGATTTATATAGATCTATATTTCACATAAATCAGAATTTCCAAAAATAGTCTATTTCCTTTTCTTTGCATAGCAAATTAACATGCAACTTGACTGTTGCAAAAAAATAATAGGTGAAATAAAAAAATGAGAGGCAGGCAATTCTGTACAATGACATAATCTATTGGCTTAAAGCTATCGGCCTAATTTTGATACCGGACTGATAACGATAACACTAAAAAAGCATTTATCAGCCGATAATGATATGGCTGCCGATAAATCATTTAATTTTAATTTCTTAACGACTATTCAATTCAATACAACAGCTTAGAAGCAAACAAAATGTATCTGCAAACTGTAATGGAGTAGCTGAATCGATTTGCTAGAATTAAGTCATATCAGCTTATATTGTAATTAGTTTAAATGCTTTAACTGAAATTTCATTATTTTATTTGACAATTTTAAGGCAATTCTGTTCAATGACATAATCTATCAGCTTAAAGATATCACCCTGAATTTGATATCGTACAGATAATGATACCATTAAAAATAGCATTTATCGGCCGATAACGATATGTCTGCCGATATATTGTGCATCCCTATTTAATGTTAATTTCCTAACGATTATCCAATTCATTACAACCACTTAGAAGCAAACTATAAGCAAGTAGCTAAATGGATTTGTCAGAATTAAACCATATAAGCTTATATTGCAATTACTTTTAATGTTTCAACTGAAGCATAATTATTTTATATAACAGTTTTAATTTCCAAATGATTATCCGATTTATCCAAACAGAATGTATATGCAAACTATAAGGAAGTTGCTAAAATGAATTGTTAGGATTTAATCTTATAAACCTATACTGTATTTACTTTAAATTCTATGATTTAAGTATACTGATTCTATAAAGCACATTACATTTATTTTGAGACTGCAGCTTTATAAAGGCTGTTGAAATAACTAGTTAACTCCACACGAGGGCAGTCTTGGCCATTCTGAACTGCAGTTTCAGTTTTAACTATTCAGTAAAACTTATATGTGGATGTAGTTAGTGGTAGCATCTTCTTCATTGCCATTTATTTTAACTCTTCACATTGTTGCATAAGATTAATCATAATCTTTGTTTGGCTGCTGAAGTTATTATTAGGTGAAATATGTTTATCTGTGTAGTTTGGATCTTGTTTTCCCCTCCTTCATAATCTTTGGGTTTGTTGTAATGGCTCTGAGCAATGCTCGCTCTCATCTGATCTGTACAGGAAGGGGATTTGTTTGTTTATGCTGGGATCTTTTTGACTTTAATCTCCATGAAGATCTCAGATAATGCACATTTCTGTCAGGTAGCGCGTGCAATAATGATCAAAGCCTGTTAATACGATTTATTTAAGATTTTGAGATGAAGAACTGACTCATTCCCCAATGGGTCACACCACGTCTGTGTAGCTGATTAAAAGCGGAGTAGAAAATCAAGTGGAATGGAAATACAGTCGGGTTCAAAAAAGACTGAGTCTGATTTAATAAGTACAGGTCAGGATATGTGTTCTGCTGTTTCATTTTTACATAAACATATCTTTTTTTGTTGTACTGATTCTGAATGAGGATAGAGTATTGTTTCAGCCCTGTTTGAAGTTATTTGAAATATATGTTTAGTTATTTGAAACTTTAAAGAAGTTTCTTTACTTAAACTTAATATGCTTGGACTTGAGAATGGACAAAATTATGAGCCTTCCTGTTTGAAATGATTATTGTATTTATTTTTGTTACAGTATATTTCACAGTATTTCCTGTCATATTTTTATTTTGAAGAAAGTCTTATTTATTTTAATTTAGCTGTAAGTAAATAAATAATAAATAAAAACAATAGGTCAAATATAAAAAAAAGTCAATATTATTATCCCCCTTAAGTATTTAGTTTTTACAGTTGGCTTCAGAAATAGCAGGTATTAAATGACTAGCCTAATTAATTTTATTAAGCTATAGATTTTAAATTGCACTTCATGCTGAATACTGGTATTTTGTAAAATATGAAGGACTGTCATCATCATAGCAAAAACCAACCAAGAAAAAAATTATTTTTTATAAATGAGTAGGCCCTCACGGAATCTGCACCCACAGCATTTAGCAGATTTTCGCAGATTTTTTTGCCCATCATTGAGTCTATGTGTTTACTTGTGTAAATGTGTGTAAATTTACATTTTATTCAGTTTTTAAAATTATTTCACTTATATTATTGTAATATAATAAAAATAATATTAAAATGTTCATATGATTTATTTACAATACAGTTTGTAAAGTAATATTTTCTGTCTTTAAGTAGATATATGAGAGACTTGCTTTGTTTATTAAATAAGTGGCTCTAATTGAATTTGCATTATAAACATTAAATAAATGTTAAAAATGTATTATTTTTATTTTATATATTTATTTTTTCATATTTTATGTTATAAATTTATTAATTAAAAATTTGTTACGATACTCCTAAAATCATTCTACATAAATTCAAAGATTTTTAACAAAATTTCCTACTAAAATAGCCAAAAATGTTTGCAGATTCTGTCTGGCCCTAGAAATAAGTTATTAAAATTATTGCTTTAAAAAGGTGTTGTTCTTACATTGTGTATGAAATATTTTTTTTAAGAAATCAAATTTCATAAGAAGGCTACTAATTTTGTCTTTAGCTTTATATAAATTTACTTTTGTAAATTTAATTTGATGCGGACACCAAAATGATGTGTTTATTTTTAAAAGCACAAAAAAATTTCTGTTTTATTTATTTATTTATTTATTTATTTATTTATTTCATTACATTTCATACTTTGTAGTAATAATCTTGACTGTAGATGGGTTAAATAAGAATATAAAAGTTTACATGTGCATAATGCTTATATATATATATATATATATATATATATATATATATATATATATATATATATATATATATATATACACTACCGTTCAAAAGTTAGGGGTCAGACTTTTCATGCTTTTTTATTAAAATTTTATTTTAGAATTATTCTGTTCATCAAGGCGGCATTTTTTAAATGTAAAAAATGTTAAATTATTAAATAATTATTTCAATTTTCAATAACTGCTTTCTTATTGTGTGTAGTTTTAAAATGAATTATTACTCCAGTCATTATTTCTTTTATTACTCTTAGCATTAATAATAATAATAATAATAATAATAATAATAATAATAATAATAATAATAATAATATTAATAATAAATATTAGAGTGATTTCTGAAGGATCATGTGACTCTAAAGACTGGAGTAATGAAGCTGAAAATACATCTTTAAAACACTGGAATAAATGATTAAATTAAATGATAAACTACTTTTGATCAGTTATTTTATAGTGCAACAACATTTTACTACTTGCACTGCATTTCTGATGATAGTTAGATTTTTTTTTTATTTGTTTATTTAATTACATTTGTTAGCAGCTTCATATTATCTGGATAGCATTTTCTCCATTTTGGCATTAACAGAACATAATCGTAATATAAAGTTGTTCCTGTACTCTGCTAAGTGCAAATAGATTTTTTTGATACCATCATTTTCCTCACAGCTCTGCATTTTCCCCTTCTCTGCTCTTCTCCACCCTCTCCTCCTGCCTGCTTAAAGAGCAGAGACAGGGAATCTGCCATCTTTTGAACTTTTCAGGGTAGTCAGGAATTACAGTGACATTTGGAACCCTTTCATTAGTGGCTCATGAGTAAAGCAGGGCTGCTGTTCGGCCCGGGCAGGTAATGAGACAGAGGAGAGAGGGCCAAACCTTCCTGCTCTCTATAGCCCCAGACTCTTTGTCCTATTACCATCAGCCTTTCTTCCTGTTTTAAAGGCTCCAGTAGGGCGCACACACACACACACACACACACACACACACACACACACACACACGCATTTAAAACATCTGTTCACGAGCAAATCCTAAACAAAATAAAAAGTCTATCGTTTCATATAATGCTCTATAGTATTGGACATTGTTTGCAGTATTCATAAATCTTTATAAGCGCAATATTACACAAGTACATGGATGCAGACGGAAACATGGAGAAAAGCATTGTTGTGAGAGTACAATGTTTACATTTTGCATTTTATTTAGCAATATTTATCATTTTTAATTTTTATATTGTACCTTTAATCATTAGTTTTTGAAAAGGTTTAATATTATGTTCATATTAATGTATAATATTATGTTTTATTTATTTATTTTATAATGTCTACATTTTTAACTAAACACCAGCTCTGAGGTTCAAATCAACGAGGCATGATCACATATGAATGAGTTTATTTCTGAGTATAAACGTTATATTTCTTTCTTTCTTTCTTTCTTTCTTTCTTTCTTTCTTTCTTTCTTTCTTTCTTTCTTTCTTTCTTTCTTTCTTTCTTTCTTTCTTTCTTTCTCTCTCTTTCTCTTTCTCTTTCTCTTTCTCTTTCTCTTTCTCTTTCTCTTTCTCTTTCTCTCTCTCTCTCTCTCTGAGAGATATATGTAAGTATGTAAGTGATATATTTCAAGACACTTCTATACAGCTTAAAGTGACATTTAAAGGCTAACTAGGTTAATTAGGTTATCTGCAGG